TGTTCTAAACTTAATATTGTAGTTTGAGTCTTGATATTTGACTTTATTTATAATTTTTAAATCTATTTATAATTTTTAAATTATTTTATATGTCGTACCCTTGTCGTCCTCGTACCCTATAATTTTAAAAATTTCCGTTTCCTGTCCCCGTCTCCGTATCCGTCCTCGTATCCGTCCTCGTATCCGTCCTCGTATCCGTATCAGTGCAACATAGGCTCCAAGTTCCTCAAAGGGTAAAACTCTTCATTTATCTTGCTTTTAAAGGTAAACTGCTAACAAACGCCGAGCGTCATCGACGCTCCTTGACTGGTAATGTTGATTGGTCTATTTGTGGAGTTGCCCCCGAATCTGTCCTCCACACTCTTCGTGACTGTAGCCATGCACGCGACATATGGAACCTTATTTTGCCAAGCTCTCGCCTTCATGATTTTTTCAACCTGGACTTCAATGCTTGGATTTTAATGAATCTCGCTCGTCAACTCTCGCTCACACTTCTGAGTCTAGTTGGAATGTTATCTTTGTAACTCTTTGTTGGAACATCTGGAAATCTCGCAATGACCAACTCTTTGCCAGCATTCATCATGCCTCTTACGCCGTTGCTCAACGTAGCCTCACCCGGTCAAAACATTATGCAACTTGCAAAGATCTCCTCTTACACCAGGCCTCCGCAACTAAGGTTTCCCCTATGATTCAATAGTCTCCGCCTCCTCCACGTTGGGTTGCCTTAAACACGGATGGTTCGGTTTGTTCTTCAACTGGGAATGCTTCGATTGGAGGCCTTTTTCGCGATCCTGCTGGTGTATGGATGTATGGCTTTCATCGATCCATAGGAGTTTCGGATGCCCTTCATACAGAACTTTGGGCTATCCACGATGGTTTATGCCTTGCTTGGCACCTCGGGTTTGAATTCGTTCAAATGCAGTCCGACTGTTCCCAGGCCATTTCTGTCATCCACAGCGCTGCTTCAACTACCAGCTCCATGCCCCTCGTCAGAAGCATCACAAATCTGCAACAGCGAGGCTAGGCTTTAGACTTCATTTGGATTCCACGTAAGGCTAACTTTCCTGCTGATACCCTGGCTAAACATGCTGTCCAGTCTCATTTTGAGCTTCTTCACCATGAGGTCCCGCCGAGCTATGTTCTAGATCTCCTCCGCCAAGACATAGATGGCCCCCCATATTATAAAGCTAGTCTAAACTAGTTTGTTTCTTAGTTTCCATTTCTATTAAAAAATATTATTTTTTAATATAACATATTTTTGTTGTCATTTAAGGTAAAATCGCGATTTTTTTTAATTAAGGTGATCATAAAGTAGTATCTGTTTTAAACACTCTCAATCAATTAATAATGAACGTTCAATCACCATTGCAATTGTTGGTGTTCGAACCTATGACCTCTAGGAACAACAACGATTCTTTTAACCACAGAGGTAAGTTGGTTTGTGCAACACATTTTTTTATCTACATGGCAATAACATGGGCTCGTATTGGACAGTGATTAGGGGTGTTCATAATTCAGTTAAAATCGAATTATTCGATCGAATCAAAAAAATTTCGATTAATCGATCGGTTAATTTTGAGTTCGATCGGTTAACGATTATTGATTTTTCAAACTTCGGTTATCGGTTAATTCGGTTCATTAACCGAATCAACCGAAATTATTAAATATTATATATATTATTTAACTTTAAGGGTGTTTAAACTTCAGTCTTAACCGAATCAACCAAAAATATTAAATTTGTAATACATATTATTTATAAATTTTGATTAATTAGGTTAACTGACAAAATTAATCGAACTTAATTCCATTCGGTTAAAATATTTTTAAAATATTCGATTCGCTTAACGATCAAAGATAAAAAGATACGGTTGATTTGATTAATGATTATTCGGTTTGGTCCGTGACTGAATTAACCAAATAAACACCCCTAATTACAATGAAAGAAAAAGAGAAATAAAGGCAAAAAAAAATAAAAATTTTATAAATTTTATCTAAAAGAAATAAACATGTCACCGTTGTCGTCTGGCTCAAATCTCGTATTGTTTGGATGGATATTTTTTAAATATTTAAATATAACTTTTTAAACTTGTACTTGTTGAATGATTGAACACAACGTTAATATAAGCGCGCTACCGCCACCCTATTTATGTTCATGCTTTTATAATTATTTGTCTTCGACACATATCGTGTTCGTTTGTTATTTTTTGACAAATTTTATATAATTTTCTTTCATACCTTTTGCTCTTATTTTTTTCTTTAATTTCAAACCAACGTAAAAAGTTCTGATCATTTTATGTTACATAAATAGAATACGTTTCTCGTAGAAAAGTCTCTCGCTAATAAGATAGCTTCCGTTTACATGACATATAAAATATTAAATTAAAAATTAATTTAGAATAGTTATTATATTGAAAAATTATTTTTAAATTACACGCTTGACAATGTAATCAACCAACGCTAACTAAAATTTTGACTTCGCTGTAAACAAAAGACAATTCTGCGTATATATTTAAGGAGTTGAGTTTATGTCATCGATCAATTAAACACAGACTCGGCTTACCACTCTTTCGTTATGTTTAGGGATGGGGGCTCGTGTGAATATAGTAATTTTTTTTAAATTTATAAATACGTTTTATTCACGTTAAATTTAATTATTATTTTCATTAAATATTTGAATTTAATAAGTCTAACAATTAAAAAAGAAATTAATATGAACTCTAATTAAGGGGAGTGTTGTTCTTCCTTTAAGTATTGAGCTCGAACAGTTACATTTTGTAGGATCTGTATGCACTGTCAATAGTTAAGAAATATTCTGAATAGATATTACCTCGTAATAATCATTTAAATTTTTTTAATAGTATATTAAAATTTATAAAAAGAAAAATTGATATCAAGATTTTATTTGGACAAATTAATTAAAATATTATTATTTTTTAATAGTCTAAGGTGATTATAAGGTAATATACGTTCATAGTTTTTCTTAGTCAATGACAATGCGCACACACCCGTAGACAATTGCTTAAACTCAGTATCTTTAGGGAGAACAACACTCCCTTTAACTACTCCAGTCATTTGTTGAGTTCACTAAAACATTAATTTAGACCAAAAACATACTTTAGGTATCGATTTTGACTAAAATTTTTTATGTACCTATTTTGATAAAAAAAAGTAACTTTAGGTACTGATAAAAAATTACTTTAAGTGTTTAAATGAAAAAGACAATATACTTTAATTACTTATTCATTATATAAACCTTATTTTTATGTCATATTTTGCGTAGAATCATGTTTTAAGTTTCTAATGACATATATTTCTTTTCTTTCAATTTATATCATATTGTACACATTAATTATAGTAATTAATTTTAAATTTAATTTAATTTAATTTAAATAAAATATGAATTATTTAAAATAATAAAAATTAAATATATTTATAATTGGTTCTTTAAATGCTCCGCTGGAGCTGGATAATATATCTAGTTTTTTATATACTTTTTTTAGAGTTAATTGCATCACACATATGTAAACTATGACTCTGAATTTAAATTGATGTGTCCCTAAATCATGACTTTCATTCTAAATTTATCGCCAAACTTTTTAACATTCCGGATTCATCTCAAACTATGACTTCATTCTAAATTGGTATTCAAACTTAATAATGTTCCAAACTGTAACTTCATTCTAAATTGGAACATTCAAAAGTCTGAAGACTAATATAAAATGGGGGTCATATTTTGGGGATTTAGAATGTTCAAAGTTTGGGACCTAAAATGAGAATCATAATTTAGGGATGATATTGAAATTTTCAGAAGTTCAAAGACTAATTCAAAATAAATTATATAATATAGGGATGTTTATTGAAATTAACTCCATTTTTTAATACTAATTTTAATGGGACTTTTGAACCGACATGTGACTTCACCCAGACTTGTTTGCTTATGGAATTATTAGAGTTAGTTGAATTGTACTTTTGTGGCCCACACTTTTAGGCACCTCTTGTCTGCTACTTATTGGAGGAAATTCGCAGCATGAATAGGGATGATAATTTTATCGATGAGTTTTGATTCGATTTAATCTACATAATATTATAATATTTTTTTTGCTTATTTGAGGATAATTATAATAATATAACTTTCTTTTTTTTTTTAGTTTGGTTTTCATTTTACTTAATAAAAATGAACTTTATAGATATATGTAGGGTAAATTATACAGGTGATCACTTAACTATTGTCAGATTTCATTTTGACCACCGATATTTTGATTTAATCAATCAGAACATTTAACGGAGTAGGTGATGTTGCAATTAAAAAAATTTGGTATAATTACACAATTGGTTCTCGTTACTTATATATTCTTTTAATTTGGTCCTAATTTTAATAAATTAAAATAAAATTAACCCTCGAATCAGGTGGTGTCATGTGTCATTTGTTAATTTATTTACACATGGCACCACCTGATTCGAGGGTTGAATTTATTTTAATGTATTAAAATTAGGACCAAATTGAAAGAATATATAAGTAACATGAACCAATTGTGTAATTATACCGAAATGTTTTAAATGCCACGTCACCTACTCCGTTAAATGTTAACGACAGGTGGCTTGATTGAAGCATTTAAATAGTTGGGTGTTCTGATTGATTAAATCAAAACATCGGTAATCAAAATAAAATATGACAATAGTTAAGTGGTTACCCATGTAGTTTACCCATATATTTATTTAGGTTGGGTTGGATTAAGGTGTGAAATTTAATCTAAAAAATTGGTCGAATGAAATCATCCTAAATTTGAGTCAAGTCGGCATAGATAAAGAATTTAAATTTTCAAATAAAATTTGAATAGATAAAAAATCCGACTTTAACCCAACCGGTATCTCTAGCCATGATGGTGTGTACCATCAAGCTTCCCAAAACCACCTTCTCAAAACTACCCACCTCATTCCTCCCATTACGTTAGTGGGTTGGGGTGACGCTGCCTTGTTTTGGATTCTTACATAAACAGGGGCAGCAGGAATAAGTCAAATCAAGAATCTTTTTTGATCCAATGGATGGTTTGAGTGGCTTCATCTGGTAACTAAAGAATAATGAGATTGATCGCCCAACCACCAAGTGCTTATGTTCCCACCTTTTCAATTGCATAAACACATCATTTCCATCCATTAATTACCCATCTGAAGATCTGAAAACCAGCAAACTTGGGATTCAAGGCCTTTGCCTTTGAAACATCTTCTCAAATCGACCATGGTTCACTGCAATTATGGACACTGCTATTGTGGAAGATGCCATCGCCCCTCGGCTCCTCTACCGTACTCGGTTCTGCTGTTCTTGGCTCTGGCATTGATGCTTCTTGCCTTGTCCTCTTTAATCAAATTTGAGATCGATATGGAAAGTGCTGAGGCGAGTATGACTTGGCTTGTTTTGATCGCAGTTTTGGCAATTTTGGTCATTGTTCGTTGGTTGTCGGCGGATTCTTGCCGCCGTCCTCATTATTGCGGTTGTGGAAAATGTTTCACAATGAAGTATTGCTATTGAATCTATATTTTCTCATCCCTGGTTTGTCTAATAATCCTATATGTTATGAGTTCCAATGTCTTTGATGAACTGAATTCTCTCTCTCTCTCTGTATACATCTTCGGTTCAATTTGTGAACAAATTTTTGCATCTTCAGAGTAAACCAGTTTCCTTTTCATTCATAGAACAATATATATATATATATATAGCCATCTGAAAGACTGATCAAATAATTGGGATGATGAAATGTTGTTATGAAACCAGAATGCCTGGGTTCCCAGAGCCCTGATTTTTTCCATGGATGCTTTTTTTCCCCTCCCAATACGATGATGGATGGACCGAAGAGGTATCGGTAGAAGCAATCGTTCCTTCTAAAAATTTTAAATTCTTATATAATTTAATTTTTTTTATTTTTTATTGAAATTCTGTTCACGTGCCCTTAGAATTTTATGTTGTAACCAAAACCCTTTGTTTCGATTTCTGTCTATCCCATGCTGATTTCAATAAGGATGTTGCTGATAGCAGATATTGTAGACTTTGAAGGGTTTTTTCCCCTGGATTTTGGTACATCTTAATAACTCATCGATTGATTTTAGTGATAAAAAAACGTTGTTTCTCTTAGAGGTCTTGAATTCAAACAATTGTGTTTGTAGGATATATGTCAGTTGTTAAATGATTAAGAAATTTCTGAGCATTTCTTATCTTATAATCACTCTAAATTATTCAAAAAATATTAATTTATTAAAACCAAATCAAATTATTATTTAAAAATAAAAACTTGATTTGAATACCTCTAATAAAGTGACTATGGGTTGATTAGAAAAACAATGATTGATGGAAAATTAATGCTCCCAAATGTTAAAATCCAACCTTGGAGAATGATATGTTGGGAGGGACAATCACGCACATTGAACATCGACCATAAAATAGATATGAACTATACATATATATATATATATATGTATTGTCTATTGAAATCGAGAGCGAATTCAGTTTCAATTAAGATTTTTTGTTGTTGCTCTTCTGGTTCTCAAGGCTTCGGCTTGACTAATCCGGACCGACCCGGGTCGCATTCCTGGCTGTGGTAGGTGAGTCTCTCAGCGGAGATTTTTTTACATACACAATGACTCAAACTCGAGATCTGCTTAAGCGATATCAAGCTGCTTACCACTTGAATTAACCCGTTGATTCTATTAAGAAATTTTACTCTTATGATTACTATTGATATAATTATTTATATGATCCCTCATCATTTGATTTCAATTAAGAAATTCTTTTTATAACCATTTAAGCTCAAAACTCATCCAATTAGGCCACATTCTACCTTACAATTTTAGTCACTCTCACATCGATCCATAGACCACTCGGATTAGCTCTCATGCGCTAATTCAAAAATTTGAGTCACTACACCTAACTATGTGAAGGTTTTTAGGGTGTTCACTGATGTTGCCAATCTTATGGTTAGAGTTGTGGGATCCTTCCGGTTGGTAGAAGAGGAAATCGATTTTGTCTTGTAAAGACTACTATGGAGGGTGACACACAGAGGAAGATGGTTACGTTAAGGAGGTCAACCTGCAGGCAGCCAATGCCATGACCATGGCGTTAAAGAAGGAGCTGGAAGATTTAAGGCAAGAGCTGATTATAGCCTAGAGTGAGGCTCAAGGGGTTAGGATAGCTCAGGGGCAGGCTGCAGAGTCCCAAAGACAAGAAACAGAGGCATAGTAACACGCTGTGAAATCTTAGAGACAGACAGCGGAGGCCTAAAAAGACGTAACAAAATCTAGTTAGCAAGCTGCGGAACCTAAGAAAAAGATTGGGGAGAAGGAAGATGCCTTACAAGCCAACACGACAAAGAGGCAACATAAGAAAGAAGTTCAGGTGCGGAGATTCAAAAGCTACTCTCTTTAAAGCTCGATGCTGAGAAGTTGGCCAATGAAGTCTTAGGGAAGCTTTAGAGCTTTGAAAACTTTGGGGACAAGTATGAGCTCAGCTTTGTCTGTGAGTTTCAAGGGATTTTTGACCCCATAGAAATATCGAAGTGGAACTTTCAGTGTTGTCGGGATGTTTCCTAGGGGAGTTATCCTTCGACCCTTATAACCCTTCGAAGGTAGGTTGAAAGGACTTCTAGGAGGGTGTAAAGCCATATTTTCTAGATGAGGCTAACACATCCTCTGTTTTAAGCCCTAATGTGGAGGCCTATCTGAAAGGTAATGCACTCTTGTTTTAGAGACTACTCCGGGTGGTCTAATTGTTAGTTTATAGGCTTCTATTGATAATCTTATGGTTTAGCCTCATTTTGTAATAGGAGTGGGATCTTTTTAGAGAATAATTGAATTTAAAGAAATTTTGATTCTTTCATACACTTTGTTGGTTGAATGAGTTTCAGATTATCTCAACTTTGAAGCGTTTGAGAATACGCCGTTTAGCTTTTATTGTTAATCAAAGAAATACTATAACTTTCATGCTAGACATACGACAAAGGATCTCAATTTTTTTCTACAAATTTACCTGTCTAAATATCTCGATGGTTAGAAATTTTGTTATCACAAATTTTGTGAAAATTAAGTGTGCATTTTGTTGGCTTAACGGAGTTGTGTCAATGCTTATATGTCCAGCTAAGGATTCCCAATGTTCTTGTGGGATAATGAAGGAAATGACATCTTGACACTTTCTAGGGACCAAGGATAAATTCTTATAATTGTAATGTAGACATCTCAACTCTCTTTTGTCGGTTGAGAGATCACAATATAGTCTCATTAGCTTGGGTAAAGTGAAGGCATCTCTACGCTTTCAAACAGAAAGGAAGTAACTCGACGTCCTTAGAGAATTCTGATGGATGGGCGGAGGCATCTTCGTCTTGGTATTAGCAATGGGAGTATTCTCTTTGTTAGGACAAAGACATCTTGACACTCATAATAACAATGAAGATACTCTTATTACTAGAGCGGGGGCATCTCAACACTCTTTGAAGGATTCTTCTTCTCATCGCATGCTTCCTTGGTGTTAAGAGACCAACATCTCTTAAGAGTTTTCTGGATTAAGTCCTTTTGTTGTTGGCTATGTTGTTGCAACCGTAGTTGGGCCATCTGGAAGGTTTAAAACTACGCATGAAAGCTCCAAAGCTCATTCTGCAAGTTGTGAAGTCGTAGGAAGCTTTGGTAGTTGTAAAGTCTTGCATGACCTGTTTATACAATGATCCTTAGTGTTGGTGTTAGGCCTAAAGTCATTATGACTACTCGTAGATTAGCAGGGTGAAAGGATATGGCTACTTGACAATAGATTTGGCTCTGACAGATCACATACGTCTACCAAAAATCACGTCAAAAGTTTGTGGCTGATCCAAAGACTTTGATTAGTGAAAGAATTCCACCCAAGACTTCGATATTTGAAGGAGTGAGAACACAACTGGAGAAAAGATACGAAGGAAATACAACAAAACTTTATATTTACCTTACGTCACACCATAAAAACAATAAGTTAAAGTCTCGAGTTCTTTCACTAGTTTGTCACTTGAACATGAATACAAAATGTATACAGCTGCACACTGCTATTATACGCATCATAGTGTACTTTAGCTTATGCAATGTATATAACTGCACACGGATCTGACTATATATTTACGTTTAAAGCAACATTGATTGAAACTGATAGTTACAACTTACCAACCATATAATATTCTGAAGAATAAAATGACTCAATTAGCAATGTAATTGATTTCACCGCAAGGTCCCACACCGGCCAATTCCAACACACCCGAATAAAAACACGAAATCTACAATCAGAAATACCCTGGTACAACTTCAAGCAACCCTTCCACCTTGAATCCGTACGCACCGGTAAACACACAATCCTCGCTCATGGCCTATTATCGAAGAGGAGACTCCATCTTTGATTCATTCTCTTTGAGTCCCTTGCCTTATCCAGTTTTGCTGATCCTGGCGTTGGCATCGATATTTCTCGGAATATCATGGTACGTCAACCACGAATCTCTTCTGGAAACCGCCAAACAGCAATTAAGTTGGGTGCTTTTTGCTACACCAGTTGTGCTCATACTCTTGGCTCGTTGGCTGTCATCTATCGATACTCGTGATATGTTTCTTTTCGGCTCATCGCCGTGGGAACGACGTCGCCGGACTCACCATCTTCCTTCCGAGGGTAGCTCTCCTTGGACCGTGGCTGCTTTCATTGTGTTGTTGCTGATTTTGGTGCAGTATCAGTCAGTTTTTCGTGAGAGCTGGCTGGTATGATTATGATACTTTATAATAGATAGATGAAAACTAGTTGTGGATTTCTTTTCTGGTTGGTTTTTAGGTGATCCTTATAATGAATTAGACTTAACCAACAACCAGTTAATCTAGTAGTGTGAGACAACATCCTAAATCGCTTAAGTAAGGTTAGGATACCTTTGGTTATTTAATATTATATATATATATATATGATAATTTTACGTTGTAAATAACCGTAATATTAAATATTTGTGATTATATAATATAAGGGGTTTTAAGATCATATGTAATATTGCATGAATTAAGTTATCTTAGCGATTAATTAAGAGATTTTTTATTATTTCATGAGGTCTCGATTTTGAATATCACATACATCAGGGATACGAGCATTTATTATCAAAAGAGTTGTGAATTTCTAAATATATACTAGAATCTTATAATCGCTCCAGATTTATAAAAAAAATCATATATGATACTTTATGTAAGAAGTTGCTTATTTAATAGATGGTTTGATCATATAAATATTTATTTTCGTTGAGATAATTTCAGACCGAAAAGTTTCGGACAATACATTTTTTCTAACTCAACATCATTGTTATTTTCAAAATGTCTGCAATTTTTTATTATATTATTTAAATCTGAATATGAATTAAATATTATTATCCACTAGATATGTGAATATATGAAAAAAAAAATATTTTAATTTTTAAATTATATGTCAAATATATAAATTTACATAACGCTAAAAATTAAATAAACAAGGTTCAATCTCCTTAAAAAACATATTTTCCTCTCCATAATATGAATTTTTATTCAAATATTTGAGTTCACAATCTACGTCTACATAAATAATATAGACTGATATTTTTTTTTGGGTACAAAGGACTAATAAAGCAGAATCACAGCCTTAGGACACCCTCCCCGGCAGCAGCTGATAACAATGGCAACAGGAAGTACAGGGGATCGGCCAAAGTAATGAGATCTTCTTCTTGGTCGAAAGCTTTGTTCGCCAGGCAATCAGCACACTTGTTTCCTTCTCTCGACGTATGTCTTACCTCACAGATCCAGACTTCTCGAACGAGTTGGATGCAGTTGTTCATGAGGACGCTGTTACTATGCTCTTCATTTCGTTCATCATTTAAGGAATCAACTACCCATTTAGCGTCCATTTCAAGTAGTTGTATCTAAAAATATATAATTAATAATAACTATCCATTTGGCGTCCATTTTAAGCAGCTGTATGGGTGCATGTCGTCAATAACTAAGAAATATTTTGAATATATATTATCTTATAATCATCGTAGATTATTTAAGATAAATAAATAAATCAAATATTTATAAATATCAAAATCAGTAATTTGAAATTTTGAATTATCATCCCTAAGCAAAGTAAACCAGTAAATGAACTTGGGTTATTTAAATTGACCGAAGATCCAATGTATGGATTTGGTCTGGTCTGCTGGTTGGGCTCACTGATTCGAGTATTTGGGTCTCATATTCCCAGCCCTCATAAGTAATTTTGCAACTTTTACTACCGATTATTAATTTTAATTTAATTTTCTGTTTTTCAGTTTCCTTTTATGAAAAAAAGAAACTCTCAGAAATGGCGATGAAAAATACATGGTTTTTCTTCTTCGCGTTACTTCTCCTTGCCTAAAGAATTATTTCATTGAATAGATGGCCAAGCGCAAGGAAAGATCATCGGGATTTACCTAATGAATTAAAAGAAATTAGATTATTCATTGATCAGAAGGCTGGCACAGAGGTATGTATTTGAATAACAAAATATACTTTTAATTATCGTTATATAATTAGATTATTATTTTGATAAGAATTATATATATTTGTTTTAGTTTGAATGTGCTCCTTATTGTACTGAAGAGATGATGATTTGCATCCCGCATCACTTAAGAGGCCCATTAGATGTCTGGATGGCGGTGGTCCCTCTAATATGTTATGCTATTGTCGAGTGGCATCCCACTGATCACGTGTTCCGCCAATTTGGTTTTGTACAATCTATTCCGGAAGCACCTAAGAATCTTGATGATTTGCATATCATTGATAGACGGGGCAAAAAAGAAGTCAACTGGTTGCTGAAGCACTATGAGTGAGTAATGATATGGGAGGATCGACGTGGGCGCATTCCCCGTACAGAACCCATTTATGTGGATAATTACTCGGTTGCAGATAGTTAGTATAAGTGGTTCAACAGGAACGAGAAACCATTCATACTTTCCGAGGAAGCACGAGGTGAGAGCATTCATCGACGTCGACAAATACGTCCACCATCACAACATCATCGTCCCCGACTCGTGGACGGAGAGCAGTCACTTCCGACTCGTCCTTAGTTGTAGCACCGGAACTTTCACAACAACCACCGTCTATACCGCTGTACATTCCGCAGTCGTTTCAGATGGCACTGCAGCCATATCAGATGGCACCGTAGCCATTTCATATGCCACTGCAGCTAGGTCAGACGCCACCGCTTCCATACCAAATGTCGCCACCGCCGTAGAGTTATATGACCCCTCATGGAGGATATTATATTTCCATGTTTGCATATCCAAATCGGGGTTCATATGTTAGTTATTTGGCGGGTGAAGCTTCACCACATGCACATACTTCTCCTGTACAGTTTTCGCACTCATCGCAGTCAAACTTTTCGCAGTTTTCGAAGTTTTCTATGAGCGGTGAGATAGTCAATCATACACCTCCAGGGTCCTTATTCTATGGAGGTGCTACATCGTCATTCGTCCCTCATCAACAAAATGTATCTACTCCTGATGATGATGATGATGACGATGATGATGGTGATGGTGATGGTGATGGTGATGGTGATGATGACGAGAGTGAGGAGTCATAACAAGTTATACGAATAATTCCTCCTCAAGACAGACAACCACCGCCCTGCGGAACATATTCAAGACGCAGGCATCGATAAAGTCATACATTTCATTATTTTTTTATTTAATTTTTTTATTTACCAACAATTGTAATTTTTTATTTAATTATTTACTTTTTATTACTTAATTTATTTTGTTTGTTAATTTTTTATTACTTAATTGTTTGAATGTTTTTATTATTTAATGCTTTTTAATTTTTTTGTTGTATCATTTTCTTGTTTAATTAATCGGTGATGCTCAAATGACATATCTGAAAGTAAATGAAAATTAAATTATAGAAACTTAGATTTCATAAACAACAACTACATCAAGCACGACATCAACGATTACTTGATGACAAAAGAGATATACATTTTTTTCCTAGTGTGTCCTAGGTTTCTACAATGCCCACATCTTTTGTTTTCTCTGGGCGTTTCCCGAATATTCATATTACAATGAATTCGAGTGGATTTTGGACGACCATGCTCCCTTAATAAGGACAGATCTGATACAATCGGAAGTCAATTCTGAACCTCATTAGGGTCTTTCTCATTACCTATGGGGAACTCAAATTCATATACCTTAAACAATTCTGAAAGTAGATATACGAGATCCACACAACGGTTGCAGTATGGTTTGATGCACTTACTGTTTCTTGATCTTTAACAGTATTTTTAGCCTCTTTTCCCACTTTCTTCCCCATATTTTAAAAACAAAACTATTCTGAGTTTGTTTGTAAATGTGTATTAGAATTCATGAAACAGTTTAATGATGCATTTTTGGGTGTCTGGTTGGAACTGAATACTTATTTTTCTTCCCTGAAAGTTATTTTTATTGCACAATATTGGACTATTGAACTACTGCACTCATCATGGCTAAACATTGTCATTGCTGTCTATGTTTCATGATCTGCATATTTTTGTCTTACATGCTTAATTATGAATTTTATTCAGGTATGAGAACATACTTATTGCCGCCGATCTTGTGCCTGAAACTCTGTCTGCTACAATGAGTCGTGCTTCAGCTTTTATGGCCACTAATAGAAGAATTACAGGTTCCGGAACCCTAGTTTTTTTTCGTTATTTGTTGAAGAGGTATGGCAACATTGCCAGTGTAATTGAATGGGAGAAGAATTTCAAGGGGACTTGTGATAAAAGACTTTTATCTGAACTTGAATCTGGACGAACAGAGGGAGAGTTTGGATTTCCACTTGGAGTTCCATCAGGGACTGAAGATCCTGATGATTATTGCTGTCAGAGGATAACTGTTGGGTGGTTATCTAGAGTGGGTTTAAGCATGAAAGATATGGTTCAGCGTCATATTGATGATGTCTTGTGCTATACCTTAGGTAAAGAGAGAAAACATTTTGCGGCCAATGCACCGAAAAGCCCTGCCACCGAAAAAGGGGATGATGATTATCAAGTAGCTCAACAAATCATAATGGGACTAATGGACTGTTTTAGGCAGACTGGAGGCGCTTTTCAAGAAGGGGACCCAGGCTTGGTGTCCTCTGCTGTGTCTGCCATTGTTAGCAATGTTGGACCCACACTAGCAAATATACCCGATTTTACTGGCGGTAGCAATTATTCAAATTATCAGCCACCTATGAATTCCTTGAATTTTGCTAAGCGCATAGTGCACATTCATTTAATATGTCTATGCCTGCTGAAGGAAGCTCTTGGAGAGCGCAAAGGCCAAGCATTTGAGATAGCTCTTGCAACAGAAGCTTCTTCTGCTTTAAATGCTCCTGGAAAGTCCTCTCGTGGTCAGTTTCAGTTAGCTCCTGATTCTCATGATTCTAATCTAAACATATCTAGTGACAATTCCCACGGTTCTGCCAAAGCAACTTTTGGGAGAACTACCAAAATGGCAGCTGCTATTTCTGCCCTTGTCATTGGAGCTATTATTCATGGAGTTATTAGCTTGGAGAGAATGGTAACTGTCTTGAGATTAAAAGAAGGTTTGGATGTTGTTCAATTTGTTAGGAGCACAAAAACCAGTTCTAATGGTAATGCTCGATCTGTTGGGGCTTTTAAGATGGACAACTCAGTTGAAGTATATGCTCACTGGTTTCGGCTATTTGTTGGGAACTACAGAACTGTTTGTGATGGACTAGTTTTGGAACTCTTGGGTGAACAGTATGTTTTAGCTCTTTCAAGGATGCAGCGAATGCTCCCGATTAATTTGGTGTTTGCACCAGCTTATGCAATATTTGCATTTGTTACATGGAAGAGATTCATTTTGAATAGTTACAATGCAAGTCGTGAAGAT